CAGTCATTCTGATGTTTGATTGAGCCCAAGTACAAACAGATAAAGGCTCAAAGAGGCTGACGCTGTGAGCAGAGGGCAAATACAATACAAAGGCAACATGGATATGCAAATTAAAATGCAGTTGCACAAAATTACAGGCTAAATGTCACACACTCGGCCTGGAGCTGCTGCTTTGGGTTTTGTCTTTAGTAATAACAGAAAGGTTGGGTCACCAGATATTTGTGCTGAGTGAGCAGGCGGAAGGTTGTGTCACATGATAACAAAGCTTATAGTGCCTTGCGTTTTGACTGAATGCCATCTGTCTACATTGCCATTTCAAAGTATTGACTTTGAAGCCCGATGAGTACAGTACAGCCAAAAATACAGGGCTCTTCCTGGGTGAATGGACAAGAAAAAGTTTGTGGGTAATATGAACAATCAACTTGGGTCGGGTCAAAACTGAAACTGTCTATGGATCACTGGCAGAAACTCAGGTTGCTGGAGTCAAGAATTATTAGATACACATGTTCAAATTTTTGTTGACAATGAAGGAAAAATCAATGTCAGATGTTGTACGCTATTAATCAAAAATATTTTCAAAGAACTCCACTCACAAGGTCAGTGTTTTGAGCAATATTTGGCTTTTCGTAAAATATCACAATGTTATGGTGCAGGATGGAAAACATTCAAAGTGTCAAGGGGGTGTACAAAAAAAACCCAGAAAAATATCACCTTCGTCAACTACTGTTGTTTACTTTGGCAATGTCGTTTTTTTCACAGGTGAGGCAAGTGACTGAGGAAAAGAGCAGGGGAACGGATATAAATAGATAAGAGATGGAGTGTGATGAAATTACAGAAATAAGAACAGAAACAGACTAAAATGGAAACACAGACTATTTTTCAAACTACTCCTGCACCATCTGAGTCTTTGGCTGTAGTACCGGGTACCGGGATCTGTTCAAAATGACCAACTTTGATCATAGAAATTATCAATTTTCTGCATGTAAATTGGATCTCAGTGATTAGATTTATTTTAGTTTTTATCATATTCTCAATGTATGCCAAACATACAGCCTGTGGGCCAAATACAGGCCTGGTAGGGGTTCAATACTTCCCATTTGATGAATGTTGAGAGTGAAAAAATGCACACTTCCTGTTAGTGATGTTTTGTCAAAAAAATTTCCCAATATACTTGTACTAATTTGCATGGAAACAAAGGGAAAAAATAGTAATAGAGTATAAACTTGTCTGTGTGAGCTTCCAGATGTGACCCACTGGAATCAGCTTTAGCAACACTCGTGTCACACTCTGCTCTGACAAATCTTTAAGATGACCTCAGTGCTCTGACAGTTTGAAAGTAATGCTCCCCTACAGGTGAGCATTGCAACACGAAGGTCAGTAATGAAGAAGGTAAGAAAAAATAAATTTTAGGTAAATTAAGATATAGAATCCAAAGTGAAGAGAAGATGTAGGCAAGTCAGCTGAAAGAAGACAAAAAGGAACTGAAGAAAGGGAGCGATAAAGTCAGAGGAAGTGAAAAGACAAAAAGAAAGCTGAGAAGCAAATGGCAATGCAAGGCACAGCAAAGAAAACATCTTTTGTTTATTCTCATTTGCTTCATGTAACTGCAATTATGTTGGCAGCTATTGTATAATGATTATTGTTATGCTCTGAGAGATAAGGTTTAGAAAGCCTGTAAAGACTGAAGATGGTAGGAGGGGGAGATAAGAGTGTAATTTCACATTTAACAGAAATTATCATCCGTGGAACTCATATTTGTAGAAGGGAAAGTCACTAAAGGAGATACGACTCTCAATGGACTGTGGCTTTAATGTAGAAAGGAAGCTCTTAGGAGTTCAGACTCCGATAAGCCTTTCTTTCCCTCCTGCCTCAGCTCCTCTATGAGGAAATGGTTTCCAAGACTGACACTCATCTGATTCAAGTCGTATTGTTTGTCGCGGGCATCAAGTGATAGGAATAAGAATCCATATAAAAAGCCATTAGTTTTCTATTACTGCCATGCCAGATGGACAGGCACTCAGTGCTGAGCCAAATCACCAAGTGTTTAAAGTGTCAGGTTAGATGAAAGAAGACTACCTCACAGGGTGTTTCCATGCCACTTCCCAGGGGCTGAGTGGCTGAAATGACCATAAAATTCTGTTGAGTTGGACAGCCTATAATTTTCAGCAGCGAGTGGCGTTTCGTCAAGGCATAATGGAAAGCCGTTGGAAGCCATGAAATGTGCTGCATTCCTGTTTTGGAACACTATTGTCTGAACACTCAGGACTAAACTTTAAATTACTGTTTTTAAGCCATCTATAAAAAAGCTTCTAGAGAGAAACACAATTGTTGCTATGTTTCTTTAATTTTTTTTTTGTGCCTTTCTACACAGAAATCAGAAATTTGTGTATGACTGTTTAAAAAAAGACAGAGACAGACTTCCTTTCAAAACTTTAACTTGGAACACATGGTTCTACAGCCTTTTATCTGAGCAATAGAGTTGTCTTCACTCTGTGTTCTAATGGGTTTTTTTTTTCATCATTTTTGGCATGATGTGGTAAAACCTGCCTTGTGAATAAAGTAAAGATGACAGAAAAAGGGATTTGAGTGAGAAAGCAACTTTGTGTGTGTGTATGTAAGTGTGAGTTTGTACTGATATGTAAGTGTGCATGCATTTGCATATTGGTGTACTCTATCAGTCTCTGGCAGAGGCCAGCATCTGTGGCATTTTATTTTTTAGTCAGTTAAACGTGTTCGCAGCATGTCATCATATGACGTCAGTAAATGCTCTGGGTGATTGGAAGGCAGACTCACTGCTGGAGGCCTGAGCTCATCATACTGTACAACACTGCCTCAGTCACACCCTGAACCCCTTTATCACAACATGTGCAATATTTTAAATACAGCCTACTGGTATACAGTTAATACTTTTTCTTTTTTGTTTAATGACATTCTATGCATGGATGAGTCAAAAGCGCTAGATCAAAACATGTTGTAAAGCTATAATTATTTAATCAGGTTACTGTTCACCACTGGAAAGGCACAAACTGACAAGTAAGGGATCAGTAAAACATATAAAACTTTTATGTGTTAAAATTTAAGTAATTATATAAATGTATTTTATTCATGTTTTTAATATGTTTTTAATATTGCTAATAAGCCAAACTACTGAACGCAAAATAAATACGTTTGATTTATATATTTTTTAGGTCTATATGGAGCCCCTAAAGAGCCCCTTTTTTTTCCCATGTCTCTTTAGGGGCTCCATAGGTCTACAACATTGTTTTGTGGAGAAAAAAAACAAAAAACAACTTTTTCTGTGTTTTAGCATGAGGTGGCTTTTGTTGCATACTTTAAAAAGTCTATTCCGACCATAGGTTAAGTCATACTTTCGTTCTGTGAATAGCATTTCAAGAATGGAACAAAAATTGGAATGACAAAGAAAAAGCAGCAGCCTTCGCAGGAAAATCGAACAAAAAACCTCTGATGTATCCATCCACTCTGGTCACAAACTAGTTTCTGTACATAAATCATTTTAACAACGTATGTGTGAGAGATTAAAACAAGACTTTCCAAAAATTGAAATAAATGTATGGAAGATGGCGACGTAACCATGAGACGTCGTAGGTTGAGGACAACCTGTAATATCTTTGACTTAGATTTGTCTTTTCTCTCATCTCCTTGTTTCCAATTTTTGTGATTATATCAATGTCCAGTCTGACCTAGCCTAATGATGCCACTGTTCCACTTCCAACCTCAGCATGTACTGTAGGTTGTAGTGGCTGGTGCCATCTACAATTCTCGGGTCTATGTAAGGAAGTCATGTGACAGTTGAGACCCTCGACACCATACCTTAACATGGTGACTAACGTTAGTGACAAAAAGTCATGTAACCTGACCATTTTTATTGTATTTAACTCACTCAGCCAACATGGCACCTGCAGCACTGTGTATATCCCCTCTCACTTTAGCAGGACTTCTGTGCTCAGTGGAGCTTTTACGTATGTATGTGATAATTAGTGTTTACAGAAATTTCACAAAAAATAGTCACAAAAACACACAAGGAGACACACAATCATTTGTGGATTTAAGTCTAATTTATGTGGTTTGGTTGTCTAAAAAATGTAGTTTACAGTTTATTTAAACATCATTAGTTAAATTAATTTGCATAAAAGTATGATTTTATGTCCTCTTCACCATCTACAGCTATGTCCATGGGTCCCCCAGAATCTTCGACCTTCTGAGAAAATAAACATATTATAACTGTGTTTAAAGCCACCCATGCAGCGGGCATGGTGTATTTCTGTTTGGAAATAATGTAAACATCAATTTACATATTCTTTCTTAAAAGTTAAAAAAGCTGATGTCACATGAGGTCAGAATGAGTGGGGGAAATGTTGAAAAAGAAAGGAGAAAGAAAAAAGGGTAAAAAAAAAGAGAGATAAATTTTTATATTTATTTAGTGCTGTTTACATCACACACACTCCCAACAGCCCAACTCCACACATTCTACACCAAATAAACCTATTTAAGTGGATTAGCGATGCAACCCTGGGGCGGGGGGGACTCCATGGCCCTTATCTCACACACCAAAACAAAACATACTATCTTAATCAGTCTGTAGGGGGAGAGAGGGAGTTTAGGGGACACTGGCAATGTTCACAATATGCATGAAAGCTGAAGCATATGATATGATCCTAATCCCTGCCCAAAAATGCTCTGCCCCTGGGCTTGTGCAGCGGAGATAGTAAATAGCTTGTTGGCACCGAGGGGTCGGTGAGTCCTGGTAGCTGTTAGGGACACCTGTTGCAGCGTCCTTGGAACAGATGTTGCTTATACTTTCCCATTATGACGCCAGTTACAATTGGCAGCTGCATTCGGGAAAAGACAAAGCCAAAAAATTTAAAGCTCTGTGGTTTGAAATTGTGTGTGTATTATCATCTGTTACATGTGTCCAGATACTGACTTTGGAGTTCTCTTTCTTTCTCCTCTCTGCTCCTCTGCTTTTGTTTGCTGCACAGGTCAAGGTTGGCTGATTATTTGGCCAACTGCTGGATGCCTCCACATACAGCGAGCACCTGTCCAAACCAGGACAATCACCAAGCCTGCCTGAGCTCCTTCACAAGACTCATAGGTCAGTACAACTGAGGTACAACTGTGGTGGAGTAACAGTTTGTTTGGCTGAGGTCAGTCTGACAGTGCGGGTATTGGGAACCTTTGACCCAGAAATCGATGGCTTGAACCTGTGTAGTGTATCATAGTAAACAGTAATCAAGGCCATGTTTGGGGTTGCCTTCCAACAGTAAGTCTGGCTTTTGTGATGTGTTTCATCAACAGTCATTGTGACTCACAAGAAAGCCTTTAACCTTCAAAGCTAACTTAATGTAAACAAAGAAAATTTGGTGAAAATCTATGTATATCATCTATTTTTTTATTTTTTTATTTTTGGAGCTAGAGTGTGTTTGATCGCAACCAATTTTCTCAAAGTGTGATCATCTACATTGACACACTGCGACCTGTGCTATTCTTTTATAACATCACTAATGGGATCCTATCCATTACAGGAAGCAGTAGCCCTTTTGTTTATTTTGTTACTTTTATATCTGCCAGACCATGCTTTCAAATGTGAATATCGAAAGTCAAGAGAGTTTTACTTATAATTTCCATTCCCTGAATTGTTGGTATACTTTTTACAAAAAAACACTTACAAACCTGTAATTTGGTAATGTATTTGAATCTTGGTTATCAGGTAAAAAGGTAAAAAGGAAAATATGGTATTGATAGCAGCCAGTCATAGCCAGTGTAATGCTGTTAAAGCCCTACCCCCCATCTTTCGTCTGGAGGATGGTTAGACAGGGACCACAGACAATGTCTTGTTTAATATATAAAACAATGATTTTATTAAGAATAAGAACGAACACAAAGTGCTGTTTATAAACAAAGCACAAAAATAAATGACCAGGTTACAATAGAGCAGTACTTCTCAAATAGTAGGGCAGGCCACGGGGGCGTGAGGGGCACGCTGGACATAAGTGTACTGCTGCTGTAATGCTTGAATGATAACATGCCTCCAGTCACTAGGTGGCAGCAACTTATGCAGTGGTTTTTACAGACAAAAATATACATGTGTTATCAGGTTCTCAATAGTATTCAATTTGCAGGGGTGTGGATGTGGGGGGTGAAAAAAAATTCTGTCCCCAAGGGGGGGCATGACAGAAAATAATTGAGATCCACTCCATTAGAGAAACAAGCAAAAGGAAAAACTGTCACCCTTCGACACTGTAATTGTTTCAAACTATACAGTTTCACTGCCGAACCACCCGCAACGCACACCAAACCATGAGATTGCAAACAAAAAAAGAGGCACAGAAGGAATGAACATGTTCGCCTTATATCCCTCACTAGATCATCAGACAGATGCCACTCACCTGGAACTGGAGAATATATGACATAAATAGTTATTGCTGCTGTATTTCCAGAGGAATTGTTGCTTATTCTTGCTGTTTTAAAGAGTGGAGTTGCCTAACAGTCCTTGTTTGCGTCCGACTGTTGCACCTCAGAATGATGATCCAGACATCTTTAAGCAGGTAAAACTACCGACGACAGACGGGTCAGTTAATCTGTGTAAATCTCTGAAAAGTACTGATCCACATTGAACACAATGAAAACCCTGGATTAAACACAGATGCAGTTCAGAGCCTCAAAACATTTTAAGAATATAAAAGCTTTTAAAAACATAATGATAGCTTCTCCGTCAACTTCACCCCGTCCCCCACCCACCGTCAAGTAGAGTTGATGTTGATTAAGTTATTAAGCATAACAGATACAGTCGTTAGTCTTTTTTGAGAGAGAAAGATTGTGTGGAAATAGGTGTTAGAGAGAGGAGCTCTGTCTGTGGTGTTGTCTATAAATAAATGCCACCATTGTAAGTATCAACTTGTCTACTAAGACTGTAGCATCTCCTGCAAGAGAGGAATTCCATCTTTCTAATGTTTTTATTGTAATAGATGTTGACATTTTCAGTCTGGTTCCAGACAGGATTTTAGTATTACTGCACCCACACACAAGGGGGAAAAAAATCGCTATTAGGGAGTGTCTAAATCAGAATAAAAATGTTTTTTAGAATTTGTACTCCATTAAAGAGACAGATTAAAATGAAAGAATGAGTGTGTTGTGCTCAGAGTTTGCACCAGTTAGAAGTAGGAGCCTAATTATAGTTTAAAATGTTGAGTTGAAGACTGCAGCTGACAGGTGACTAGTTGGACTCAGCAGGCAGACAGGAGACAGGTGAAACTTGAAAGCACAGAGTAGTTTTAGAGTGGTTTTTGTTTTGTTTGTTTTTTTTGTTTTTTGTTTGTTTTTTTTGTTTTTTTTTGGTACAAGAACTAGAGAGTTCTGCTAAAACAAAAAAAAAGACCAACAGCATTGACTATCTCCTATGGTTCAGTGTTCCAGCATGACCTGGCAGCAGGAGCAGACTTCTGAAGATGAGTTGATGAGATGATCTCCAGGTGCTCTGATTAGAGGAGGTGAGCAGGTGTGTGGAGATCAAAGGGCCAGAGAGGAGCTGGAACGGAAAGGACAGTGAAAGTTCACAACCACTTCTCACAAAATGCCAAAAAACAAACAAACCCTGAAACCTCTACGTATGGCATTAACTTCCCAAAATCTCACATTTTTAGAGACCCCAAAGGCTGGATCATTCTTCACCTACACACAGAAATGTGGAATAGTTACTGTGTAATACACAACTGATAAGAATTTTTAAAAATCTCTGCACAGTATTTGCAAGGATATCTGAGTTTTTCAATAATGATCACACTCCATGCTGTTTCCTTTTTTTTAATATTTTTTTTCAAAGTCATCAAAAAACTGATGTTTTTATTTCTTTAGAAAAGGTAGACTGTCATTATATTTTATGGAGGCATGAACTGATAAAGTCTGCCTTCCTCTCTGTCCAAGTCATTACTCTGGACCTGACAGTGTTGTGAACCTAACAATGATAAGGCTATATGAAACATAGCATGTAGCATACATTAAGTTTCAGTGTTTTTGCATACACTATCCAGCACTGTTGGACGTCGAAAGCCTGATTGCTGAACACAAACTTGTGTCAACAATAACAATATTGATAAATAAAGTAGTAATGCACCACTAGTAGCTGCCAAAATTAGCATATGGAGGACAAATTACTAGAACTTTATTCCCCTTCAAGGTGGCTCTAGTGGATGTTAAGAATACACAATTAAGATTATAACGCCACCTGTTGACTGCTCATAGCTTTGACAACAGTACGATGGGATTCAAGGAGAACTTAGGGTGTATGGTCATCAATATTTCTAAAAAACTGTAAGAAGAACTGCCCACACAAGACTTAGTTCCAAGACTGATGGTTATAGGGGGCTTGTAGAAAACGCAGCATGACAGCAGTCTCTTGTACTTTAATTTTTATCAGGCCAAGCAGGCAGAGCAGTGCTTCAGTTCTCTTCCCTGCTGGCCTGATATTTTCTCCAGTGCAATGGACATCAGTTCACTACTAGAAGTAATTAAGGGGGTAGAGGTGCAGTGAGTGTGTTTATTAATTAAAACACTTGATGACCATCTGTTTGCTCACTCTAAATGTAACTCAAACAGTGTTCATAGCCTGGTATGTGAATATATTTCAAATGCAGCTTGAGTTTGATAACATCAGCTCGGTAAAGTGGTGGCAGCCTCAGAGAGCTTGCAGTTTCCCAAATGCAAATGAGGATGAAATAAGCCTTTTTTCAACACAGAGGTTTCTGAACAGTCCATATTTCAGGATTAGACCGTGCTTTCCCTCTATGTGTCATAAACTGTTCAGTATAAAGTAATAATAGACCACAGTGCTTCCCTGAATTCTCTGAAAACTGTTGTGAAAAGTACATCTAACACCCTCTGACTCCACCTGAAAGCATTGACGCACATAAGTGAAATGTTTTAGTCCAGTGGTGTGATATCCAAAACAGCACACGTACTTCCTAAAGCACCTGCTTTAAAAAATATTCATGATATAATGGCCTCTTTACATCTCAAACTAAGCAGAACAAAATGCTCCCACTTCAACAGAACAGACCCATATGTATGACTAACATCCTGTTGCCCATTTTCTGTAATATTTGCAAGAACTGCAGTCCATTATTGTCCATTAGTGATTGGTAACTGTTTGCCCTAATGTCTGTCCTGACGTCTGTTTTGTCTGGGTGCATCTGTTTCGTAATCAGGTACAGAGATGACTCCCAATTACGTGGACAACAGGTTTTCCGACTGGGTCATATCCCCCTGGTGCACCTGTGAGGGGAGTGGGAACCAAGAGGAGGAGTGTATGAACTTCCTGCACTACTTCACCAACAACACTTGTCTAAGTGAGTTGTTTCACACACACACTCATGCATGCATCTCAAATGTGTTTTCATAAAAGATGTGGGTCCAGTGGTCATTCAATATTGATGAGAGAACCATCATGTGTTGTGGTAGTTACTCTTTCCGCAGTAACATGTAAGAGAAAACGGGGGCTGTGAACATCGATCTGATGCAACTTTAATAGTCTCATGTCAGATTCTGTTTTTGTGGGTTTTAAGCACTCCCACAAGACAAAATGTGGTGCTGTTGAGAGTTGGATGATTGTTGGAGGATACTGAATGTGGAAATAATGAGCTGTGTGGCTTTGGCGGGTGTTTCCGGCTACTCTGAGGTTTGTTTGGACTCACTTGTAATGCACCAGTGTGTAACCTCTGTCACACTTGTCTTGTCTTCTGTGGCAACGAGTTACAAAAAACTCCAACCAAGGTGGTAATGCTCAAAATGAGTCCAACGGCCCTGTCCTTTTACTCTTCAGATGTTTCAAACATTTCAAAGTTGCTAGCATTTCTTTTATTCATTCAAAAGCCACAGGTGTCTATGTAGGGCAATTCGTTCAAGGAAACAGTTATTGCTGTCTATTAATCGAATTACTCCCAGCCAACCATCTACAGAAACAGCAGGAGGGCCCAGAAGTACCCAGAAGGTGAAGCAGGTGTTGGAGGAAGCTCACACACCCTCACTGTACAAAGGCCTAGGACTGCACATCTTGCAATTTTGATAAACTACTAACCTACTAGTCAATCAATTACTGTGTGCCAACAATGTGCACGAACATTTCGCCATTCACTCTTTAGATCCACAAACACAATGTTTTTGATGTTTATCAAGCCTTTGAAAAACAGAATTACACCACCAGAGTCAGGCAGAGACAGATTAAGATTTCTACATTTTGTGACACTATAAATATTTAAAACAGTTGACCTTAAGTTATATTATTAATATGTTAACAATATGTTATTCAACATAAAACACAAGTATCTGTGAATGGGTGTATATTGACTGAATACATGTTCTTTTTAGTGCCTTATGCCATTTTCACACCCAAACATGAATCCACTCCCATATTAGTTATTAAAGAGTCGATCACATATTAGTCAAAGCAAATACACTTTTGTGTTTACACTGACTTTTATTGTTTGAGTGTGTGGTAATTTAAGTCAAGTGATCAGCACAATAAAAATGAACGTGATATCCGGGAAGCCTCATCCTTCCCATATGGATAATGAATAACAGCAACACAGATCGAGTTTGAAAAATAATTGGAGAGAGTACGTCAGTGAGCTGCACTGGAGATACGGCATTGAGTGGGTAATAAAATAATAGTGATAAATGGTAACAAATACTGTGAGATCACAAGTTTTAGGTTTTTGGTTCACATACGGGCATGGAGTGAAACGTGTTGTAGTTTTTGAATGGCTTTGCAACTAAATTAGTTAATATAGGAGTTTAACCGGAGGTGGATTAGTTAATGCAGTGTCACGGCGTAACATATACAGTATTAGGAGCCAGTGTGAAAAACAGCATTAGACAAACTATTACTTGACAACTTACATCCATCCTCTGGCGAAGATCAGCCCAGATTTGAATACAACAGTCTGCATGTCATTTTCATATTGTCAGTCTGTGAGAGATAAAGCAATCATTGCTCACGGGGAGAAAAGCGAGCATGAAATGGAAACAAATCCTGTACAAATAAAAGGGTAGGCTGGAGTATGAGACATCTATAAATCTTATGTACATCCTGAAAAGTGCGTCATGACTGAGTGGTAACCTCAAACATCCTTATGATTCTTTTTTTCATTACTATTATTCACTGAATAGTAAAATACAGACAGCTCCTTACATGCTACGCTGGAGCGAGCAGTGCCATCAGTGCTACAAGACACCATTGCCTTTTACATGTTCCATTGTGTGGGTAATGCTTTCAGACAGTTTCAATAGATTGCCGGATTGCAGTTTTAGCCGAGTATGCGGGATAAGGGATGAGTCTGGGAGCTGAAGAGGCGGTCTTGAAAAATAACACAAAATGCAGCATCCCCTTACTGCAGCCAGGCGATAACTTTAAACACACCAGGGAGAAAAAAAAAGTCCATATGTATATGTGTGTTTGTGTGAAAACCCAGGCTGTCAACTGAATGGTAATTTAATTATGTTAATTATATTCACTGGAATTAATTTATCTGCATTATTTGGAGATGGGCTGAGGATGGAATGGCAAGGCATGGCAGAGAAAATTATATGGAGAGAATTGAAATGTGGAAAAAGTGCAGAATTGGGAGTTTATAACTTATTTGCTTTGAAGGTTAAATCATTTTTCAAATGTCTCATATATTGTCCAGCTATTAAGGTTTTGACTAGGGATGTCTGTTAATATCGACCAACCGATAATATTGGCACATATTAGCATAATTATGTTATATCTGTAAGAATCATTATCATTTTTTACTTTGATATTGAACATGTAATGCCTGGGCTTTGCCAAATGATATGTGCTTTAAAAATAGTGAAGTGCCCTGGCCACAGACCAGAGTCAGATGTCACAGTGCCCTGAAGAACTTTAAATGAAACACAATTGCAGTAACTTGTTCTAAACTCCTTTATTGCTCTCACCACACCTCCTCACTCCCTCTCCCATACCCGTAACTGTTAACTCATAACACATGGAATTATGGTTTTGGATAATATCAATATCAACATAATATCAGATATATCAAAAAGTAAATATCGGACATCCCTAGTTTTGGCTTAGTTCTAGTTCAGGAGTGGGCAAACCTTTTGGCTCACAGGCCGAAATGTAGCTCAAAATTTGATTGGCATGCCGGTTCAATATGAGTTCAATAATTTAAATAAAATGTAGAATAATAAACTTTCACAGGTACATTAGCACATTTTATTTTTGCCGTTTTTTAATGGCATCAACAGACATTATAGTCGATCTGTTGTAATGCATGAAACAGACATCAGTCATCAGTTGGCAGACCGGATTAGAAAACCCAGCGAGCCGCATCTGGCCCGCAGGCTGTAGTTTACCCAGGTCTGTTCTAGCTTATAATATATTTGATAACTTGTTTTATGTTTTACTTAGATTCTATCCTGTGACATCAATGTTAAAATGCCTTTCCTTGAACACTATAGTTTTCACTTTATACAATAACAAAGCCCAGATAAAGAACAACAGTACAAGAAACAATAAGACTTGGACTGGAGAATATTTTTTTGTTGAGAGATACATCTTGCACATGCGCTGGGACACATCATCAGTGATGTAACATGGGGTCACTGGGTGTTTTCAATCATCAGACACCCTCACTCAGGTGACCCCACCTGAGGTGATCAGACTCTAGCCTGTGTCCCAGCTGCATTTGCCCATGGATGGATTTGCCCTTTTGATCCAAAGCCATCTTGTGGCTTTCTCTGCAGCTTCAGTTGCAGATCTGATGGCCTTCCTCTTTGCCTCCCCTGTGAGGCCCAGCATAGTGAGGACTTTGCAGAGGGACCGCCCTGCAAATCCTCTGCAAAAATATCACTTTTATTTACTTATATTATTTTTTTACTCTCTTTTGTCTTGCTCACAGCGAGTGCAAATGCCTGCAGTTTCCATTCTTGAAAGCAGCAGGTGTATAAAAATAATAAATGTTCAGTGAATCAAATGATGGCCCACAAACAAGTTATGAAGTGATTTTAAGGGGCTCCTGCTGTTGTTTCATTTCCTTGATGTTAAATCCTTTGAAATATAATAATATATATATATATATATATATATATATATATATATTACAGATTCCCGAACAGTCTTTCGAGAGAATCCCTTCCAAAATCCGCTGCTTCTGCAATTCTGAAAAGCAGCTTTGAGAAACGGATCATGTAACTGAGTTTAGTGTTGCATTTTATGCTATAAAAATTAAAACTAAAGCAGCACAACCTGCTTTATTCCCAGGATTTTCAGAAGTGATTGTTTGATTGTTTGGGGAGGAAATGCAACACAACCTGTCTATTCACTTTGGAAATGCTGACTGGTCGAAATCTCAGACTGTATATATGCTGTATGAGCATATTTAGGACATGCACTCCTTCTATATCCTAACCAGGTTGACACACCCCACACCATCAGAAAATAAAAGACAAAAAAAAAAAAAAATGCAATGAGCTGTCTTACAAAGGCAGCTTGTTCAGTCATGCTCAAATCACCCGAATGTTACAACAATGCACTCTTGAAGTTGAATTATACTGAAATGGAACAATGTTTGAACTTCAACACAGCAAAAGCTCAAACAAACAAAAAAAAAAAAACCACTTCAAACCACCAACACTTTTTTTGTCTTGTGTACCCCCTAGTTGCAGTTTGGTCAGAGATGTGCATCACACTTTAGGAATCTGTTTAAGATAAATATTTTTCACATAACAGTAGGGGTTGCACAATTTTAGATTTTTTAACAATATCGCTTATGTAACAAAACTTGAGGTTGACTAGTCAATGATCCTGTCATTGATATTCTTTTCAGTCTTTGAAAAAAAGGAAAATCACAGTAAGAGGAAATGTACAGCATACACACCTAATTTAGACAAAACAGCAAGGATATCATCCAGTATATCAACACGCTGTAAGTTTCTTATACTGACAAAAACAGTGCAAGGCTTATAGTCATGCCCCATCCTGATTTGCGCAAAAAAAAAAAAAACATTAGCATCAACATGTCCTCTAGTGAAGGGTTGCCCATGTAGTGTTTGTGGCTAGGACAGACAGGTAACACACACACACACACATAAAGAACTTGGCCAAACTGGGAAATGTGGAAGAACAAGAAAGCAGGCAGAACCAAAATGTTGTACTGAGGAGAACAACAATCAGGTGCAAGGAGGTTTATTAAATCAACTCAACTTTACTTCAACAGCAATCTGGTAATCTAGTCTCAACTCTCAGAAACACAGATCAGACAGGAACAGTGACAATGAAACCACAAGGAGAACAAGAACCATAATCACACAGCTTCACAGAACAGAAACAACAATGAACTAAAAACAGTGAGGGAGAGAAGTTTATAAACCCAGGACACAAGATGAGACCAGTGAGACTGATTAACAGAGAAACACAGTACACAGGTGAGAGTGATGAAGCTAATTCGCCATGAAGGAACAGACAGAGGAAAAAAGTAACAGACAGACCTGACAAATGCACTTTGTTCTGGGAATTTGTGGTGGGATTCTGGAATGATTCACTTTCCCTTCACTTTAATGATAACGGCTGAAAAGTTGATCAGTAATTCTGCTCAAAACATCACCTAGATTAAATCAAGAGACTAACCTGATCAAAGCTACACATTCAGCAATGGACTAGTTCCATCCAGCAGACTTAACCGCAATAATCTCTGCCTCTGTTTCTTTTTGTGAGGCGTTAAAACGTAATCAGGGGCTATCAGTGAAGCAGTCAGTTTGATGTGTTTATCATTCTGTGCAACCTCCGAATTTAACTTCACAAAACTAGCAATAATTTTAAATAAAAAAGAATTCAACAACATCCTGGTCTGATCTTTGATACCATCCTCTCTCTATCTCTCTGTTCATATCTTTCTTTCCTTCTTCATCTCTTGTTCTATCAGTCCCTGCAGGTAAGGGTAATGCCGACTTTGCCCACAGGTTAGAGGAAAAGTTATTCAGAGTCATTACAGAAATGAATGGCCATTGGCAATATGCTTAATCACTTAGTGGAACATTTGGCCACAGTAAACCATCTTTTGTTGAGACCCTCGAGCCAACTGCTTTAAATTATAGGCTTATTCCTCCATCCCACAAAATCTGCAGAGCGACAGCTAGCTGTAGTCCACAAACAGACACACAACACCAAACCACAAGGAGCAAAGATTAGATCAGCCACCATTACCACCAGCCACTATCTATCTGTCTATGTATCTATCTATCTATCTATCTATCTATCTATCTATCTATCTATCTATCTATCTATCTATCTATCTATCTATCTATCTATCTATCTATCTATCTGTCTGTCTGTCTGTCTGTCTGTCTGTCTGTCTGTCTATCTATCTATCATCTTGCGCCAATAATCAGACAACCTATCAACTACATTGTTATCCCCCAAAACGTGTGACATATATTGTGTTATAACAAGTGGTTCATTATTTACAAATGTACATTTAATTCTGCATAGTTACTTTACTCTTGCTCTAGTGCCACCTTCAGGAACAGACTTCCTGTTACATACTAAAGTGAATTAATGGATTAATTTGATGGGATTTCAGCTTCTATAGCAAAACGTTATATAAAGTTATGCAACATTTAACAGTATGTGCATGTGTGTGTTTGTGCATGTGTGTGTTGGGGTATCTGTCCTATGGATGAATGTGGGGAAAATGTTATTCCTTTATTTAATTTTTTTGTGAATGTTTTGAATTTGATCAGTAAATCTATTCTAAGTATTTTCTGCATGCTGACCTTATAATGGAGGTGGTTGCCAAGTAATGACATGCTTTGCCTTCTCTCTGGCTGAACAAAGAGAAACAAGCCTCATGTTTTAAACGGATGAGCAGTGAAAAGGTGCTCAGTCCCTATTTTACCATATCTAGCTGAAAAAGCTGGCTGAACAGGGATTTATCACATTTTTGCAGACTTAAACACATACATGCGGCACATTTTCAGGCAAACACACAAGCACTGGTTTTCGTGCATTCACGGGCTGCTCTCCTGCGTCTGAGCTGATTGATTTGCTTCTCTTTAAAGAGTTTATTCCTGAGCATACAACTGCTGGTGAGCAAATTGAGGTATATCATCTCTGAAGCGAGAATTTTGTCACTGTTTGGTCAGGTTGTTGTTATTTGACAGCAGCTTTGGCAACATGAAAGGGGTTTTTGCAGTGAGCCAAGGACAAAGGTGCTTGCGTTTGGGAAATATGTCTAGTCTGTCACAACAGGATTTGCTAATAATTAACAGCTATTCTGATAGCACAAACATCGGACATACTTAAAGTATTTAAAGGAAAGACAGCTGCAGTTATTACAAATGTTCTCTTTGAAATACTCAGTAATGGTGAGAGATTTGAGACAATAATGATAATAATGCCATAAAAATGAAAATGTATGTTCACAAACATTAATAATCACTAAAGTTCTTCAATTTTTTTTAAATTCTTGACTGAGTGAAGCCGAATTTACAGGCAGGAAAACTCACATCAACTTCAGACATTTATTCTCCATCTGAGTTGGCCCTCGAACTGCTCGAATTTTAAACCTCATTTTGGCCAGTAAAGGTTTGCTCGCCCCTGTCTTATCCACGGAGTCCAGACTCTTAAAAATAGCTGGAATAAATGTGCCAAGCAATAAAAATCATAAGACTTAAAATAAGTAAAAATGACACAAAAATAAAATATCTCACTATTGCTGAGAAAACAGAAAGATAATTTCTCTGTTCTGTTTTTTAATCCATCGATTCTCAAAACTTCTGATTTCTTTCACTTCCTCATCTCCAGAAAGTGGGCAGATAACCTAAAAGTTGGAGAGCTGTTTGTTTGCTGACTGGCTTCTTGCTGCGACGACGGTCGAAAATAAGTGATTTTATTTTTGTTTCCATGCAGGAAATGCCATCCAGGCCTTTGGTTATGGAATGGACAGCATGCAGAACAAAAGTGTGTCTGTCCCCGCGCCCCCTCCCACCAAGACAGGATGGTACTGGTCCAATGACACCTTAGAGCGTCCCTTTGTCAACGTCCAAAAGGTAAAAAGCACCCTCATCAGTTACAGTCTTCTTGTCACATTTTACAAGGGAATTACAGGTCTTCTGAAAGAACACATTTGCAGTTCAAATTTTTAACAGATAGGATTTGTCACGGTGAACGGTTTCAGCCATTTCCATCAGCTTCTTTGCATAAATTTGTTCAAATTGACCCATTACAGAAGGAACCACAAAATCCCTTTTCTACTGTGTTTCCACATCATGCACAAAGCTCAGCAGGCTGCATCATTCATATATACACTCAATCTCAACGCTTGTTAAAGCAACTGGTACATCAGAACATATACTCCATGGTAATACAGTTGTTGTTACACCAAAGATGATGACATTAGGTGGAAATAATATTTTTGCATGTACAATGAAACAGAGAAAGACGAGCGGCAGAGCGGGTTTAATCTGGATTTGAGGGCCTTAAATACCAGCCCTGGCTCTGTTCAGTTGCTGCTCAGAACATTTTCTCACAGAGTGCTACCTGTTTATTTAGTTAATAATCTTTGTCAGTGACCTGTTTCTGTCTTTCTCGCACTGAAGTGAAATATTTTACGCTCTACTTTGGGCCGAGGAGTTTTTTTCCTATGCTTTTTGTCTGCCTGTTGAGTTTGATTAGTGTTTGCAGCGAAATGTTTTTTTTAACAGATGTATTTTTGATGTACTGTGCAGCACTGGTGTGAGAATAATGATGTTTTTCACTAGCTGGATGAGACATTGTAGTGTAAAACCCTAAATTCTAAAGAAAAACCTTGAGCTGCCCTGGCTGTTGCTGCCTTGGCCGTAGTTATTATTTAACATAAATTTCAGCAATTATCACAAATCTACATAATGCGCCCCACAGTGTGACACATTCACAAATTCAAATGTGCATGCTGAATGAATGACCCCCATTGAGACGTCTCTTCTGAGTCATTCCTCCCATTCTGAGTCATTCTAGGGGGCAGTGGTGCTTAGTGGTTAAGGAAGCGGACTTGGGTCTGGAAGGTTGCAGGTTCGAAAAGCTGCCCACTGTTCACTTTGGTGATGGGTTAAAAGCAGAGGTCACATTTCGTTGTGTGCAGTAATGTGTGTCACAATGACAAGGAGTTCACTTTCTTTCCCCTTTATGGTTTTTATGGCCGATGAAATGGCCTTGCGGTGTGTTGTTCTTCATCCAAAAGCCCCGTATTGTCGTGAAGACGACAAATTAGAACCATCAACATGTTACAAAGAGGAGAAATAATAAACAAACACTGCTGATAACAATTACTGCATACATGTTGGGAAAAGGTATGGGGCAAAGAGAGAGGTGAACAGTGAGGGAACGGCTGGTGGTGGAGGTGTGTTTTTCTGGCGTGTGTGTATCCCTCAGTATTGATGCACTGCTCTGCGTCTGTCTCACTGCAGTGTGGTGTTTAATTTATTGTAAAAATGGTAATTAGGAAACAATAAGACGTGTGATTACTCAAGCAGGAAGTTTATAATTAGAGAAGGAGCTGGTGGGGACATTTTGGGCGGCCCTGTGTCCTTAGACAAGTATGGCTGGCAATTAAAACTTGTCAAACTTCCATGGCAGATAAACTGGGGGAGGGTTGTTATAGTATAAGGAGGTCTGGGAGAAGACTGACTGTACGGGGCTGGAAATCTTAAGGCAGTGTCTCACACACACACATATGCACACAAACACACACGTACACGTGTTGATTGACAGTTGGATGAATGAATCTTCATAACGACAAGAACATGAAAGGATAATCCTGTAAAAGTAAACTTATACCAAGATAGGATGACAAATTACTGTATATGAGAATCTATAGTTTGTGACTATTGTTGTTTACCTTATTATACTGTCTATCTTAGGCTGTGTTTACTTACATAGTATGGAGGCTTAATTATTCAAAATGTTACCGTCAGTGGATGGATATTTTCCTCAGGCTCAGTAAATAAACTTGTCTGCTCAGGCAGATGCTGTGTAGATCAGAGTGACGGCTATGACAATTCCAGCTTTTATATCTAGTAATCCAGCACTTTTTTTTGTTTATAATATACTCGAGTAGATTCTGCCCCTGTAACTGATTACTGTGCTGTTATGTTCCCAAGATTGATGTGAGCCTCACAGTGAGAGACAGATTTTTCTCCTTTTTTATTTGAATTTTAACGGTACCACTTAACGGATACTTAAGAAATAAATTGTTCAAAATGAAGTGTTTATTTTCACGGTGTTCTGATTTTCATTTACATTGTTAGCTGACGTGCGTTGAGCCATCTGGAAGCGGCTGTTTTCAGTCTTCCCATGTAATATTGTTGAGTGCTGATTTTCAGCTCAATTTAATGTAATTGATTGTGGACGAACTGCAACTCTGAGGTAGTCCATAAGTAGCCTTGGGGAAATGTTGGCTCAGTGCACTGTAATTTGACATCCCAGGTCAATAATGAAAACACATGCTCTCTTCACATGTGTACTTACCGCACATAAGATACTGCAAAGACAAGAGTCACTCACCTGCAGTTCAAGTAAATATGTGTGCGTGTGAGAAATTCTGAGCAAAAAAGTACCTGTCATACCTGTACTGATCTCACTGCATAATATTACCAGCTCATATTTCTGCTTGTACACAGTTAAACTGTTTACATACCCGCCTTCACAAGTCTAAGTGGGTGTGTGGATTGACTGCAGCCACAGATCTGGACTCATGTCAACAGGCTGCTGCCACACATCACTGCCTGTGCTAATTAATTGGCTTTTAGTCGCGGATGTGTTTGGTACATTGTCAAGCTACCCATAGCATTTATTCCCATATTTTGGCAACTGTCACTTAACCATTTCTTTGCAGTTGGGAGTGCAACAGCACAAGAGCAGGGCACTTCATTAACCACCACGTTATTTTCTTCCCTTCACTTCTTTCTTCCCCTATGGGTGAGGGGGGGAAAAAAAACTTGTCTCGTTAATACATTTCAACACAATTTCCCTGTTTTATTATTTATTTTTGCCTTTTGTTCGAAGAAGAGGTGCTTGAAGATAACATCTGAGTAGACATGTTTTTTCTGTGTATAGGGAAATTGACTAAAGTGCAATCTCTGCAAAGGTTGCATCGTTGAAAATAGGGTGAGGGGATGGTCGTGGTGGAGAAGCGGGAGAAAGAGGGAGGGTGGGTGGAGGAAGAGGAAAAATGTTTCATGTTCCCTCTGATGTGCTTCTGCCTGTGTCACTGTGTCAGAGTGAAAATGGTGCTTCCACAAATTGAGCGAGGCTGTTTTTAACTTGGAGGCAAATGCTTATGCTCTGTGTTACATGATTTGGAGGAAATTGAAAACATATTCAAGAAGCTAACAGTTTCATGTACATACATGTCCACTGTGGTGTAGATATAGTGGACAGTAACTGTGGGATTCCAGAGGCCAAGGCTGCTCTCTGTTAACTGTGAAGAAACATGCATATCTTTCTCCCAATTTGTGCCTTGTACAGCTAAACAACACACAGTTACATCTGTTGTTTAACCCTTCTGCGAGGCTTTTTACAGCTTTTAAAGCTTCTTGTGTATCAGACCGTGTACTATGTACACCGACATGTTATGGCATCTGTTTGCATATCGTAAAAAACAATAAAATAATAAATACATTGAACTTTATTGATCCCACGCTGGGGATGTTCTTGTGTTCATAGCAGATCTGCTGCTACAGGCTGCAACTTGCAAGTGCCAAATATGTGGTTCCTCTGGGGCTTAAACTGAGAACCTTCTGTGTGTAAGACAGAGGTGTTAGCAGGTGTAATAACTGTTACACTATGGAACCCAAAAAACAAACAAACAAGAAAACAACACCAAAAATGAAGACAGCAACACAAATATAATATAAATACCCTAAACTAATACATTCACAGATTATACTAAAAATCTAAGCAGTTTATCACAAAGGCAGAACTTCAAGGCACATACACATGGTTAGGATGATGGAGTCAAGTTTACACCAGGCATTAGACTGACCTTGAATGTAGCAGAATTGTTAGTGCCACAATGGCTGGGTTGATAATCAAAGCAAACATATACCATGATTTTAGGGAATATATGATACTTTGTGAGTGGTGTCTGCGTTTTCTGGACCCCTGGTGCCACAAAGGCTAGAAAAGCTGCAGTAGTAACAAGTACAAACTGGATGAGAGTGTGGCCTTTGTCTAAGAATGAAGATAGAGATTAAAGGTCTAAATGGACGGCTAGTCAAATGACAACAGTGGAACTCTGCTTTCATGTGGGAGTGTACACCTCTGGTGGACCAACACTTTTTTAATTAGTCTCTACGGAATACGAAACCATAAATCCCTGTTACCAGAACATATGAAATGTATTTGTTGCAAGGCACAAAGTCATTTTAGTTAAAGATGTATTATTTAAATAAATCATTATCCTCTTAGATGAGCTAATCTAATTTTGGTGATGGGTTAAAAGCAGAGACTCAATTCCTTTGTATCCTAGTGTTACAATGACAATAAAGACTATAATTAATTAATTCATTAATGATCATCTTTTTTTAGGTGGTGGGCTTATTAGCACCTGCTCATTTTTTGAGCTGGGTTTTTGCCTTTTAACAATTAAAACCTTCCCATGGAGGGCAAGAAATGAAGTTGAAATGAACATGACATTTCATCCATCCATCCATCCATCCATCATCTTCCTCCTAATCCTTTTAGGGTCATATTGGAGCTAAAACCTATAGCAGTCTTTGGGCTAGGACAAAGGGATAACCAACAAAGTTCACCCGTTGACAACTAGGGCACATGTTACTTACTCATGGACCATACTTAATATGTCTTATCACTTCACTCTACTGCACTGTTTGGACTGCAAGATGAAGTAGCCTGTACATTAACTTTGTTACACAGTACTAGACCTTGCTATTTTTTTTATTTATTTTTTTTTTGTGCCTGAGTAAAAAAACTAAAATAAAAGATGCAGTCCGGCATATGTTTCATTCATTGTTCTCAAGAAAGGGTTCTGTTGTCTTGTGAAGTAACTACTACAGTGGAAATCCCTGCTATGATGACTTTAACATTTCACAGTTGACTGGCATTTACTTGCCAGGCTTTTCAACAAAAACACCCACTGAGTGAGAATACACTATTTGAAAAAAAAAAAGTATATATATATATATATATATATATATATAATGAACTGAAAGGAAGATTAAAAAAACAACTTTGTAGATATTTCTGAATCCATTAGTCAGATGTTGTTTTCTGTAATTAAAGTCTGTAATATAAGGTTTAAAACGTGTTGAGAGATTTCCTGGCACAAACTAAAGAGAAAAAAATCCCCACAAGAAGCTTTGCCTTTGTTGCCAAGTTGATTAGGAAGCAGAGGATATACTGAGCAGCACGGTCCTTGAAGTAAACTTCACTATCAAAACATTTGGTGGATCAAACACATGTTCATGCCAAAGGGGTGTCTGCAATGGATACATGGTATTTACCACTTATTTCCTACTTCCTGACTTCGGTTTGTTTTATTATTATTATTATTATTATTTTCAGTCTCCAGGTTTGACACTGTCCTGCCTCGCCTCCTTGTTTCCTCCTCCTCCACCTCAAATGCGAGCACAGAACAGCAGCCTGAATATTTCAGTCAGTTCTAACCTTTGGTCACCTTTCTCTCCCTCTATGTGTCCCTCTGTCCCTCCAGTATCCTGAACCCAGAGACGGTGGCAACACTCAACGCCTGCCAGAGGATCGATCGGCCTTCCTGCATGTCAATGTCTGGGCTGTGCTTCCCAGCCTGGTGTTGGCTCTGGTCCTGGCCCAGCATGCCTTATAGAAGTGTAAGATAATGAAAAAGAAAAGAAAAGAGGTCATCCACCCACAAGCTGATCCCAAAAGCAGAAGGTGTTATTTCTGTGACTGATAAAGAAGACTGAACCAACCTCTGGGTACTTGACGTAAATGGCATTTAGAAAAAAGCAAAAAGGAGGCGAGAAGTACATGTTGACATTTTTACAACTGTGAATTTGTTGTTCATTTGGTGTTTTGTTCGGGCGAACCATAACTGTGATAGAGCACATGGCTTTAAAAAGGACCCTTGGTAGCGGAGGCCGTTAAGGCCGTCCTCTATAGGAACAATCTCCATCTGTGTGAGACACCGAAACCTGGAGGACTGAATCTGATCACGTTAACAGAGAATTCTCTCCTTTTCTCACCAAAGGAGTGACAGAATGAATGAACGACCTCATTTAAAAGAAGTGACAGAGAAGAAAAAAAAAATCGAAATGAGCATGAAGTGAAAAGAAAGAGACATATTTCTGCTATCAGTCACACTTTTATTTTTGTCTTGAATTGGTTTTACGACTTAATACTCTCCCAGCTTGGACAAACAGCAGAGGAATTTGTGACAGGATTGGAAGGCTGTGGTGGGTGAGGGGGAGGGCTAGCAGGGGGGGGTAAAAACATGTTCTTATCAAAACAAGTATAACTCTAAATGGTAAAAGCCTACTCAGTGTTCTAAGTGTCGGTATTAGTATCCGTGACCATCATTAACCTAACATGCAGCGCTCGCTCTCATCTGGGTGTCGCAGTAGGCCTACAACTACATTTTTAACAAAAAGAAGTTAAGACAATTACTGGATGTTTTGGTCATTTGAGCTGTTGTTGTTGAGGTGTCACGTGCACCTGCCTTTATGTATATTTATGTCTTTATGTATATAAATAGTTTACTTTCATTCAGCATAAAGATAGCCACAGTACCCAGAGTGGACATTACTGTATGATACCATGGCTCTGTACTGAGTATTAATTACTAATGGAAGATCAGCATTATCTGCGTTTATATTTGTCTATTAAGGGTCGATCAACAAGAATGAATGTATACAGGGTTGAGATTAAAAGGAGCTCCAACTGCTTGAAAAGCCATAACATTTGTCTGAGTAGTACACTGTGTTTACTGCATGTGCCTGGACAATTATTACACTGTGTGTGTATGTGTGTGTGAGTGTGAGTGTGAGTGTAAGTGTGTGTGTCTGCATGGGTTCCACGTGGGACTAAAGAAGCTTATAAGGGCCAGGCTAAACTGGCAGTCTGTGAGTTCTTACTCCTCCACAGAGAGCTGCGGTCACACAGTACTGTTCCAGTTCAAGGTTCCAGAAAGTACAAGGACTGCCACAGGTTTTTTTAATAGTGCTTGACTGTGTAACATTTTATTTAATTGGAAGATTACTAATAATAAAGTATCAAAATATCTAAATAAACTGAAAGAATATGCATGCATTTAACTCTCTAAATGAAGGTTAACTCTATATGATCAAAGATAAGGTTTTATATTAAGAAAATGCACAAAGAAATAATGTTACTGATCAAAAGGGCAGTAGCATCAGGTGGACCTGCAACAATTGATCAATGTAATAATAACTAATCAGCTTTAAAGTAAATGGGACGATGATGTAAGTTTAAAAGGTAACATATAGAATTTACAGCTTCCTCTACTGTAGAGTGAGCTATAAACACAGTTTACATTGCTTAGTTCTGGTGTTTCACTGCTTAAGAAGTAGATGTTTTGTTCATAAAATATAAAACAATAATCTTAAGAACAAAATGAAATTTTCAAGATGAAAATGCATGAACTTCTTTTTTTCTATCAGGGGAGACAGATAAGTGGCTTTTTACATCAACCTGGGAAAACTCAAAAAAAAGGTTGCTTAAGGCATTGTTTCCCAACCTTGAGTGAGGCACTTATATTAAAAAAACCTACAGCACAACAAACAAAAGTGTCCTTAAGAATATAAGTAAATGTAATGTAATAATTTTCTTGTTTCAATTTACTCACATTTCACTGACACAGTGTAAAACCATAGCCTGTTTAGTTGAACACAATGCTGAGAAAATCACCGGAATTGTAGAAAGCCACACAGAGATCTTCCTCAATGGCCCTAAGTCTCTTTTTAATAGTTTTCATAGCCATCACCTGTCACCTAGTGGAAGAGCATGTTGCGTCTCACCAGTCCTAAGAAGAAGAAGAAGAAAACAGTTGTTAGTATTATTAGTAGTGAATAAATAGTAGTTTTTCAACAAATTAAGTCAAACTAGAGGTTTCCACAGCCACCTGATGATCTTTTTCATGTTACACTAGCGTGCCACACCACAGTAGTTGGGAATTACTGCCATAAGCAGATTTTTAAATTGGATATCAATCTCTGACTATAATTATTTTTTTCTTTTTGTGACACTCTAGTGCACTTATTACTAAGAAATACACTAGATTAGCCTAAGACAAAATAAGAAATATATTAAATATATTAAAAAAGGCTCTCTGTTACATTCAAGATTTTTAAAATATGATCTCAGTAACTGGTTTTGGTTATAAGTATAAAGCTAGTATGAATCAAGAACTAATTTGTCTGTAGGCCATGAAATGCCCATGGACGTGTACTAGTCTATTTCTCATTCTTATACTTCTGGTTTCCATCTCCTGAGTTCTTAACTTTCATTTTCTGCAGTGAGTGGGCTGAGCTGTTCATCAGTTGATCTTATCAGACCCAATAAACACTCTACCACATGTGTGTCAAGAGCTGCGTGTCTCTCTGACTGCAGACCTCTGGGTTTTGAGGGTATAAAACAAGTATGACTAGCTTTCACTAAATGATAATTTTGTCATGTTTTCTATTAAATATAAAATATAAGATTATAAAATATAATGTACCAGGCAAGGTTCATGTACATGTCGAAAGAGAGAAAAATGAAATACAAATTCCTACAATCACTTGAGAGAAAATTATGCTGGAATTAAACTTAATGTCTGTAAACACCTTGTATAACGGATACCCCTGCTCAGCACAATATATTATAACTCATAAGCAGTGCCTATAAAAATAACTCCCTTTAACACCTAACATTTTAGAAATGTCAGGCGCTAGATTCTCTGAGCAGCTTTCCCCTCTCTACTTCACACTTTTCAAGCTGACAGTGCGTTTCTCTTTACAGCTGTATATTAATTCAACCCTGGCATATGTAATAGAGATGACAATAATATTTTATCTACACCACTCTGTATATGACTGTTTGAAGAAAAGGTTAACAAATGGAGGAATTTAATAATCTGGGTTATAAAATGTTATTGAAGTATCAAATATCATTATCATTTCAAACTGCCATACTGTAGAAGTACTAAGGAATTCCTGTTGGCCGTAATGTCAACATACAGTGATCAAATATCTGTTTGTACTGTACGTGCAGTAATTACACCTACACACATTTTTCTAAAGGGGATTTTTGTTACTGTAAATCTAACTCCCAAGGAAACATCTGTTCTTTATTGTCAGAGTCAAACATTTAGGACCTATTGTCTCAATGTTTGTTTTATCCAGTGCAGGGGCCTCTTCTGGGACCTTATCATTTTTGTGTCACCTACATTATGTTGTAATTTTGGAAAGAAATATGACATCAACAGTCAAGCTACCATTTTATGGTATTTTGTGTGAGAGTTGTTCAAGTCCAGACATGGACATTTATGGCTCTGTTATTGTTGACCATCGAAATACATGAGTAATATTGTGTATTCCGGCCTCTGCTTAATGTTGACCATGACATTTTAAGACTACTGGGGTGGAACAAGGAAAAGGTCTATTTCTTCTCATAAAAATTCTATAGATTTTCCAAAGCAATAAACAAAACAAAAAGCTAAGTCCAAAAATACCTTTTAACAAAGTTTTTCTCTGTTGTTTGAGGTCAAGAAACAACAATGTCAGTAGAAAAAAAAAAAGAGAATTCCGATCAGAATGTAATATACATAGTCATTTATGAATGCAGAGATCAAAACAAGAGCGCCACAGTGACAGACTTTTTATATGTGACAGATGTCTCACAATATCATTAGATGTTATGCAACATTAGCCAATTCCTGGCTAATTCCTGACTTAGGTCTGCTGGAGTTCATCACATATTTAACCTGTTGGAGAGACAACAGTTTGTTTACAGTCTGTGTCACAGTGGTTAATGCATCAGGCTGCAGGGGAGCAGTTTGTAGAGCGAACTTAAAAAAACTCCTGTGTTTCCTGGCTGCAATAGCATGCAGCCCACTGCTCTTGTTTTATCGACAGGTTAAATTATGAAATGGAGGATTAAATTTGTCGTGTGTGTATAAGTACATGATAAATAAAGCTGCTTCTTTCTAGAGCAGTAAGGTTGGTAAAGTTTATAGCTACTGTTGGAAACCGAGGCAAGTGATCACCTGATATTGGTTTTCAATAATATCTATTTAAATAAACATGATAGTGTCTAGTACAAAACAAGCTCATGTTGCACTGTTGCTGTATACATATTTTGAGCATGTTGAGGGAAACAGGAAACTACGTTACTAAAACAATTACTAAACGAAGTGATAAAAAAGGAAAGAGCCTGATATCTCCTGTAATTCCTTTGTTTGTGTCGTATAGTATCCACAGCTAAAGTATTTGGTATCAACAGACCCAGTATCACAGTGTGTATCTATATGTGAAAATAAACAAAACATAAAAACACGTGAAAAAACAATTACTCTGAACAAAGTGACTCATTCAAAAATCTGCTTGAAAGTATTAAGGGCTTAAAAGTAATTTTCAATTTTCACTCAGACAAATAGCAGTTTTCCTTATTCTATAAAGGTTAACAGCAAAGATTCTCGCTGACTAATTTTACTTGCAGTGCTGTCAAGCAGAACCCCCACCTATCCATCACACCCAGTTGTCTGCAGCCTCTTCTGATCCATCATTCTTTATCCTTCATCAGTCTCAGCAGGTCGCCAACCACCAACATCACTGCAGTGTCTGGACGTTGAAGGATCATTGTTGTAGCTCTAAAGAATTCTTCAGTACTGACGCTTCTCTTGTCTGGTTTATCTACCTTTATTTGTTTGTTTGTTTGTGTCATAAAAAACTCATTATTTCTCCTGATTCAAGCGTGTGCACACCGAAGTAGGTGAGGTATCCTGGGCTCCTGCCCCACTGCACCACCTGTTCTCAATCAGCAAATCAACACCTTAACTCTCTGCAGTGCAAAGGTAACATTATTGTTTGACTTTATTTCTTGTAGGTGCTGTTAGCTGTAAGTGACTTTGGTCCATTAAGATATTCACACAACAACAAGTCTTTAGTTTTCCTTTTCCTGCCCATCTTCTTGTTTTCTTTTCCACTCTCATGTCATCAGCATTCGTCTTTTTCCTCCTCTGCTAAAACCCAAACTAACTTATCTAACAATAAAATCTTGCATTTATCATTTGTTTATTTGTATTTGTATTTGTAGCTAGTTTATAGGTTTGGTTCTCTAATTTGAGACAGTCAGTAAAAGGACTGGGTTGGAAGCTCCACAAAGAAGCTTGCTTCTACATTAACTCTAATTTGGCCACCCCACAGCTGATGTTTATTATCTGGGGTCTAATGACGAATGAGCTCAGCTCCAGAGAACCGTTTGGAAATATAATGTTTTAGAGAGAAGTTGTTGAATGGGGTTTTGCATCAGTGGGAAACATCTTAAAAATTTTTTTCTTATAAAGAGAAGAAAATCCAACAGCCAACATTAATAACAATAAATGAAGAAGTGAATTATAAGTTCAGGTGATTCCAATGTACACAGTAAATTGTAGCACTGAGTGCTTGGGAAGCTGAATGGCTGAAGCTGTACCTTCCACCACTTTACAATAAATATTAAATAACTCCTATTACATTACATCATAAATATAATAATTTACAACTAAACCTAAACTAAACACAAACATTTTTTCAACTTATTCAGCCTCTGAGCTGATCCTTCCTCTCTCTTAGCTCTTTATGTTGTTTATTTGCTGGTCTTAACGTCAGTGTTCTTACTTAAAAGTTTTAAAAAGTCTGTGTGGGGGTTCGTGGTTTACAACATCCTCGACCTTTCATGGTTACATTGGTTACATCTTCCA